ATACACTGATAAATGATCACCACAGTAAGTCTAGTTACCAACCATCACCACAGAAGATTACAGAAAAGAAACTTTTTTCTTCTGAAATCTTTTAGCTTTCATTCTTTTGGCAAGTTTCAAGTATACACTATGTGATACTATTTTTTTTTTTTTTAGATTTTATTTGTTTATTTTACACAGAGAGAGAGAGAGATCACAAGTAGGCAGAGAGGCAGGCAGAAGGGGAGGGGAAAGCAGGCTCCCCACTGAGCAGAGATCCCAACTCGGGGCTCAATCCCAGGACCCCAAGATCATGACCTGAGCCGAAGACAGAGGCTTAACCCACTGAGCCACCCAGGTGCCTCTACTATGTGACACTATTGACTATAGTCTCCATGCTGTATATTACACTCCCGTGACTTATTTATTTTATAATTGGAAGTTGCTACCTCTTGACCCCTTCACCCATTTTGGCTACCCTCCCAATGCCCTCCCCTTGAACGACCACTGTTCTGTTCTCTATCTTTATGGCAGAAACTTTTTTATTGAGAAAAAGTCTTATTTTCAAGGCTTGGTATAGACTTTGAGACTCAGTGGCTCTTTTTCCTAGGAAGGATTTGTTCTCCCTTCTCTTAAAGTAATGAGTCTTTTAAGGTTTAGCCATGGAGGCAAAAGGCTATATGGGAACACGACTTAGGGAGGAAATAAAACTGTATTGGTTTACTATATCGGACACATTACATCTATAACTATACTCCTACATCTCATAAATGCTAATTCACATAGCCCTTTTCCATTCCTCCTCCCCTTCTGACTTAATTGTAATGGAGCAGTTACCTTCCCTTACACTCTTGTCCTATTTTAGAATTCTAGCCCTTTCTAGAGACCCAGCTCAAAAGTTGATTGGGATCATGATATTTACAACAGGCATGTGACAGGTCCAGGGACCAGGGCACATGACCCCATCAATATCCTCTTCCAGAGTGAACCTTCATTCTACACCCGTTCTTCCCAGACCAGATCCTGTGAACTGACACCTAACAGCTCTGGTGGTGCTCTGGTCATTGCCGCTGCCACTCCTGGTGATGGTAAGGAACTTTCCATTGTTAAAGGCTTTAGCCATTAAAAAATATCTGACTATTGATTACCTAGGCCCTCTGATTCCTGTAAGGTCAGAATTAATCTGTTGTAAGGGGAAAATCTTTTCTCCTTGTCTGGAATGTCCCTTCCCCACTATCTGCCTTGAAAATTCCTACTCAGTTTTTAAAACCCAGCTGTAATGTTGCCGACTCTGCATGGCCTTCTCTGAGTCCTTCCCTGCACCCGGAAGGACCAAAGTTCTCTGTTATGTGCCATTGCTCTAGCTCATAAGCACCCCTATTGTCACATCATTCATGGTGACTCAAGAGTATTTGCACCCATGTCAGGCTCCCTTACAGAAGTTTCTGCATTGTTCACACCAGTCCAGTCTGGCACACAGATGATCTATAAGCATTTGCTGACTGAGTAACTGGCTGAAGGAATAAATGAGTGGGTCTCAAGTTCCTGTGCCCCAGCCCCACGGGTAGTAAAAAGCAATGCTGGAGTTCAATGGTGGACTGGGACCCTCAAGCCCACTTTGGCCCGCTGCCACACTACTTGCACTTTTGGACTTTCAAACCGAGTAAGCTTATTGTCTACCTACAATAAACAGGCATGAACTTCCACATCTTTCCGGTCCTCTCTCTCTCCTCCCTACCCTCCCTTTGGTGAAGAGTAGATTTCCCAGAATTGCCTTAGTTTTTGGGTGAGAGTTAAGCAAAAGAACAGAATGAACTAGCATCAGGTCGAGCCCGAAAGAGTCAAGAGCAGAAAGAACTTTCCTTGAAGTCTTCTTTTAAGAATCCCTGACATTCCTCCTATGTTTATTGTGTGCTGATACACTGGTAAGATTTTGCATACTCTCATTGAATCTTAACTACCACCCTTCGAGAGAAGCCTTCCTGATGAGGAGAACCCAGACTCCAGAGATCAGGCTAACCGCCCAAGGCCACGTTGGTTTTAGCAGTAGCAGAACTGGGACCCAAGCCTGCCCAGGCATGCCTGATGTCAAAATCTACTCTCTTAAGGTAACGGAGTCCACAGGAATATGCCAGTAAGGAAGAGGGAAGGGGAATGAATTAGGAATTGGCATTTATTAGGGTAATAGATACCTGTCAACCTTTGTGGCCCACAACATCTTTGAACACCTTTCCCGCATTTGGATGATTTTCCACATGAAGAGTCCCGCCCTCCCAAATGTGTAAACCGGACATTGGCACTGGTGCAACACACACACAAGGACTCACTGAATGAATAAGCGAACAGACCTCACAAAAACAGAAGCAGTAGCAGGTACACTGGTCCCCACCACCCACTGCTTGCTGTTAAACTCATTAAACAAGAAGGCCAAGTGACCAGGGTGCCTCTAAAGGCTGGGCCCATATAAGCAAACCAAAATCTCAACCTTCATCTTTACAAAGGCCTCAAGGTCATGAAATCAAAATATGAAAGACAGCCAATCACAAACAGCCAAGCAGGCTTTCCACTAGAGCCAATCACATAACTTCTACATTTTTCTCTATTAAGTCTTCCCCTGGCTCCTGTGGGCGGAGTGCTCCTAACCACTTCCCGTTTGGCACTGCCCAATTCAAATCGATTTCTGCTCAAATAAACTCTTAAATGTGTTTAATATGCCTCAGTTTGTTTTTTAGCGGTTCTAAGCCATTTACGCAGAAATCTCACAAGGCCAGACAGCAGAATCCCAGAGAGTGACCTTAATCTTGGGCCATGGGGCTTATGAGCTACACGATTAGAGAAGCACTGGGCCCCTCTCCTTGGGAAATTAGGGGTCAGGGCTGTAGTAATATGTAGTAATATGGCATGGTAGAAAACTGGCCCCAGCCCTCCCTTCACCTTTCGTGGCTCTGGGGAACATCAGGCCTTTCTCGGGTAAAATTTGGAAGCTGGGGACCAAAGCTGGCAGTTGTAATTGTATGATATGGTAAACTATTGCTTGAACCCCAGCAACCAAGCAGCATTCAAGTCTGCAGAAGGACCAGCCCTTACTTGGGTCTGATCCAAGTGCTAGGGTCTGAGCCTCATGTTTGGCCAGAACTGACCGCCTTAAGCCACTGGGCTGTAGCCAGTTTCCAGCAGGTTCCCAGGGAGGGAGCTCATGGTACCTGCAGAGAGTGTCAGTCTTAGACAAATTACCCCTTTCTCTCCTTTGTTCTCCCAGCCTCCTTGCGGGAGGGGCAGGGTGCCTGATCCAGGCTCAGCCCGCCAGACACGCCCAGGCGAGATTTGATTTAGAAGAGAGCAGGGTAAGAATATAGGTGCATAAACCCATTTCCCGCAGCAGCCCATAACAGAGGCCTTTGTTTCTGGGAACAACGGGGGAGGCAACTCTGGAATCCAGGGCCCAACGTCACCTTTGCCTGTTTTGCTCTCTGTGCCTAGACAAGGCGGCCACAGAGCTGCCTCTGATACAAGCTCATGGGTAGCTTGAGGTCGCTTCTGTCCACCTGCCCTCCAGCAGATATAGTCCAGAAATTCTCGGAGCTACCTAGTGCCCTGCAATCAATTCATCCTCTGCTTCATTGAGCTGAGGGATATTCCATTGTAACAGCCCCGAAGCAGAGTGATCACTGACCATCTATTTTTGTGCCAGGTACTGTGCTCAGCACTGTCCCGTCCTTCATCCCACACAAGCTACTGCACAAATACCATCTGATGTGCTGAAGAGAAAGGGGGTAAGGCTTGGGATGAGGGGAACACGGTCAACCCACCAGAGATCATGAGGGTTCCTGTCTGTCAGCCGTTGAGTTCATGCCTTCACCCATAATACACACCCCAAGTTGTAGGTAAGATGAATACCATATACCTGGCTGCGGACATGGGGCTGGGAGACCCTTCCATGAGGTTCTTCTCTGCGATCCCACACCAGCAGCCAGATGCACAAAGTGCTTTAGATTCTCCCACAAGCTCTGACTTACCGTGTGTCACAGTGCTTCCGAGAAAGTGCTTAGGGATTTTCTCTGACCTCCCCCCCCGCACCACACACCACTACCCCCAGCCTTCCTGATGCAACTCTCCACAGTCTTGCAAACTCTAATCCCTCAACTGAAGTCATGATTTCCAAAATACACTGTCCCTCTTCCCCTGCCTGGACCGCAACTGACACGATCAGTACAACGAAAAGTAGGACAAGAAATAACATGCATGGGAAAGATAAACCTCAAATGCATTTTGCTCAAAGCAAACTAGAATAATGGAAAAACCTTGAGCTAGGAATCCTGAAGAGTTGGGTTATAATCTCAGCTTTGCTGAGATTTTTTAGGTCTATAATGTTCAGTAAATTAATCACTAAACATCTCTGAGCCTCCATTGTCTCATTTCAAAATGGGCATGATATTTTGAAATATCATGGGCAAATCACAGGCTTGGTGACAATTAAATGAGAAAGTCTTAGAGTGCTGAGAACATAATAGATTCAAATCTTAGGACTTTTTCATTTTGTGCATTTTGTGATCATGTTTAGAAATCAAATGTAATGGTGATGTGTGTTTGTTGCCCATTTTAACCAAGAATTCTTGTTTTATTTTAAGATTTATTTATTTATTTTTTTTTTTTGGAGAGTGAGAGTACATACCCACAAGTTGGGGGAAGGGCAGAGGGAGAGGGAAAAGGGAATGTCGAGCAGACTCCTCGCCGAGCATGGAGACTGACATGGGGTTCGATCTCATGACCCCGAGATCATGACCTGAGCCAAAGCCAAGAGTTGGACACTTAACTGACTGAGCCACCCAGGCACCCCAAGAATTCAAGTTTTTCATAGTTATTTATAGGACTTGCAAGGTAAAAATGAATACCTTTATGAAACCCATAGCTTTAAATAATATATATCAAAACAAAATTTTGATTTCTCTGGATTTGCTCTCTCAAATTGATTTCTAAAGTATTCTGTATCATGCTTCTTTTATTTTTTATTGATTTGTTTTTTAAATGCAGAATGCTTCACAAATTTGTGTGTCATCCTTGCACAGGGACCATGCTAATCTTCTCTGTATCATTTCAATTTTCGTCTACGTGCTGCCGAAGCAAGCACTGTACTACCCATCTTTTAATATACTTCAGAGAAAAGTATACGTTTTCACAGGCTATGGAATTTTAGGCATTCAGAAAGTAAAAAATTCATTTTTCGCATTTATAAGTTGGGAAAAAATGCTAGACATAGCATATATTTGATTGATAGCTAACTGTTGATGGCACATTCAAACAATAAAACACAAGCAGAAGGGATGCTAAGCGTTCACTGTACCCACATGGAGAGGCTCATCGGTAGCTTTGGAAATGGTTCCACCAAGGGCGTGGTTCTCCCGGTCCACTTCCTCAAGGATGACTTGGCTCTTTGGGCCTCAGTTTCCTCATCAGTTAGTACAAAGAAGGCTTACTGTGGCTTCTTCCAAGTTCTAGCATTCCAGGACCATGAATGTGAGCTCTGTCGGCAATAAATAACATCTACTCCGTTATTCCTCCTCTTTGCCCAAATGAGAAAGGCAGGTGATAATTAGATTCTTCCCAACCCTTGAATGTGATCATTTAAAAGAATAATAATAGCATGGTATGCGTAATAAGGCATTTTACTGAATGTTTTACATCCAATATATAATTCAATCCTCACAATCCCAATAACACACAATTATTCTTGTTCCCTTTAGCAGATAAGGAAATTGAGGCAGAGAAAAGCTAAGTAGCCCTCACAATGCCACCCAGTTAGAAGGACAAGAGCTGAGGGAGTCCTGAAGTGTGGTAAAGGATATTGATTCCGGGAGTGGGACTGACCTGGGTTCAAATCCCGACTGTACCTTCTTTGTGGTTTAGGGGCAAATTACTTAGTCTCTTCAATCTTCCATTTTTGTTGTCTATTAAACGGTGATAATACCAGTGGTATTCCCTTCAAGGATTGAATGAAATCATTGGTTAGTGTTCAACAAGTCTGAACTATGCTAGAGATGATAATGATTTATATTACTTCCCGAAGTATTTCCTTTTAACAACACCGAGTATCTTAAGCAAACTGGCATTTCAAAACCCAAGCACTGTGCACTAATGTTGTTAGACAAATGTTAACCTTTTTCAACAATTAGAAAGACTAATGTGACACAACTCGCTAAGCTGTTTCACATTTCATGCGTACTCCGAGATGAAGTCCAAAAAATCAGCTCTGTATGACAGACGGCTGCACATCATGTTACAAACATTTCCCACGACTCCTAGGAAGGGACTTGGCAATCCAGAAGGAATTTTTCAACATGCTAATTAATGCAGATAATGTATCTCCCCTGCAATCAAAAAGGTCAGAGGAATGAATCGGTTCCCTCTTTCATTGATTAAAAAATATTTGCATCCTCTTTTGATCTTCCCCTATTTTACCCCAAAGAACTCACAATGACCACCCAGGAATTAATAGGTAATCCTTCACCCCATTGCCTAACGGTGAGAAACATCTTGACGCCTTTGGGCTCAACTATGCTCATTAGGTACAGAAATGCCCTGAGAAGATAGCGAACTTATTCAGATTTTTGTGTGTCTGCAGTTTGATGTAATAGTGTTTTATTTTTGGCCCCCAATTGCTCAGCAAAAAAACAAAAAACAAAAAACAACAACAAAAAAAAACCTTGGTTAAGCTGCTGATTTCCTTTAAATTGCTGAGCACAGGGATCGTAGCTTGATAAAGTCATTTAGTTGCTAAATGTTTATATTCAAACCATGCCAATGGCTCTTGCTGGAGTTTTTCATGAGGAATGTGATGATGTTTACTTCTTTATGGGGTGGAAATAACCATGAATTTACCGATACTACCTCGCAGGGGATTTTTCAAAATGTATTTCATCTTTAGGACTTTGAAATATAAAATTTTATGTAGGTTTTCATTGAGGAAGATGTCACAAAGCGAAAGTATGTATGCTTTCAATGAAAAAAATTTGTTGCAACTTCCCCAAATATTCCTAAATTCTGAAACATTAATACATTGCCCATTCAGTCTTGAATGTGGCATCCTTAAGACATTTCCCAGGAGGTATTATCAAGGCCCATTTGAATAGAAAAATTCATAATTGTGGCATCAATACTAAAGTGAGTGAAGGAAGTAGGGGATGAGAGAATTTATATAAATATACCTCATCTTATTTCCTTTTCCTGTTTTCTTTTTTCTTTTCTCTTCTCCTATTCCTGAAGGCAAAGGAATTAACTGAGAATGCAGACTATACTTATCTAAAATAAGAAAAAATGTTGAATTAGGAAAGCTGTTGATTTTCCATCCATCCATCCATCCATCCATCCATGTATCTGTTGAATATCTGTAAAAGGCCAGACAATGTGCTAGAGATACAGAAACAAAATTGTGTTGTTTGCTAAGTCAGTTATTATGTAACAAATGTTACTAATTAGCCAACGTTTGATTCATGAAAACTGAAAACAAGTAACTATAACATATAAGATGAGTATATAAAAGTATTCAAGGACCTCCTGGCTGGCTCAGTCAGTAGCGCTCATGACTCTTGATCTTGGGGTTGTGAGTTCAAGCCCCGCATCGAGCATAGAGCTTACTTAAATAAAAAGACATTCAAAATTCAGAGGGAGCAAGAAGCTGAGGAAAAAACCAAGCCCTCACTTATAGCATACGTGACAGAGGCTGAGTTTAAGGGGCACACAGCCTGCCACAGGATGTATGGTAAGCTGTCTCTGGAACCCTTAGCCGCTAAGGAACTCAGAGGCAGAGTATGGGATGACAGAAAGTTATGATCTTAAGAACAGCCTTGGGTTGGCATCACTATAGTGGCAGACTACGTTTCCGGTCTCCCTTACAGCTGTGCAAGGCTTTGGAGATTAAGTTCTAGTTGGTGGTTGCTATAGAGTGAATGTTTGTGTCCTCTCAATTCCCAACCCTCAACAGGTATTAGTAATATTAGTTTGTAGGGCCTATGGAAGGTGATTAGATCAGCAAGGGTGAAGACCTCCTGAATGGGATTAGTGCCGTTATGAAAGAGACCCAAGAGAGCTCCCTTGCCTCTTCTGCTACATAAGGACACAGCTGAGTGTGAACCAGGAAGAGGGTTTTCACCAGACATCAGATTTGCTGGCACCTTGATCTTAGTCTTCCCAGTTCCCAGAACTGTAAGAAATAAATTTCTATTGTTTATAAGTCTCCCTGTTTATAGTTAAGTTGCTCAAGCAGCCTGATGAACTAAAACAAGTAGTGTAACTTCCAAGAAGTATCCTTAGGAGAAGGGATTTCTCTCTCCTGTTTTTGCTTTCTGTTGGCAGATGGGATACCATGAAAGCTGATGCTAGAGTAACCGTCTTAGACCATCAGATGGAAACCTTGGAGGATAGAGAGCAACATGAGCCACAGAGTCGGATGGATATGAAGCCACCGTACCAGCCCCAGGTAGCTGCAGGAGGAAAATAAATATGATGTGTTTTAGCCACTACTGTCACTTGTAGTTGAACTTAATCCTCGGTGCCACCAACAATGAGATCTTAATTAAATATAACCCACGTGAAACCCCTTAAGACTCAGTTTCCTCATCAGCAAAATGAGGATAATAATATCTATTTTTGTTATTGTTGGAAGGACTGCATTAAAAGAGTAAATAAATTTAATTCACCTAGAATAATGCCAGGGATCCAGTAGTATTCTTATCAATAGTAGCTATTTTCTAGTCAGTCATGTTCTTTGTTTTTCCAAAGCTAACGCTCCAGAAATCTCGAAAACGAACAGAATCAGAACTCCCATTCCCTGACAGTCGCATCGACTGTCATCAAAGTCAAGCACCAACTGAAATTCAGGATGTTTATTTGAGCAGTGGGGGATACTGGGGTAGGAGATGATGGGGAAGGAAGGAGATCTGGGAGAAATCGATAGTCCTCCTTTAGACACATGAAGTTTGAGATGCTTATCAGACATCTAAGTGGAAACAGATGCAGAGTAAGCAATTGGATATATGATGCTAGAGCTTTTCAGAAAGATACTGGAGTACCATAGATTTGAGACTTGTCAGCACCTAAATGGGATTCAAAGCCATGGAGTAGAATGAGACACCTAAGAATGTGGATATCAAAATTAGAAGCCAAGGACAGAGCCTTCAGGCATTCTAATACACAGAGGTCAGTAGAGAAGGAGTCATTAATGAGGGAAACCCTACCAATATGCTGTCTCAGAAACCTAGAGACTCAATGTCTTATAGAAGAGGTAGTCATCTGTATCAAATGCCACTGAGAGGTTAAGTGAGCAGAGGACAGAAAATTGCCTGTTGGCACTGGTAAGAAATGGGTCACCGGCAACTTTCATGTTGCAGCCTCTAAGATGGCCCCCTGTCAGTCTTTCCCCCTGGTATCCATGCTCTTGTGCAGTCCCCTCCCCTTGCCCATAGATTGAACTTACTGACTTGCATTCATTCATTCATTTAAAGCAGGTTCCATTCCCAGCCCAATGCAGGGCTTGAACTCAGGGCTTGCCCCAACATCAAGACCTGGGCTGAGACTGAGTTGGATGCTTAACTGAGTGAGCCCCCAAGCACCACTTTACTGACTTGCTTTTTAATAGAATATAGCAGAAGTGATGCAACTTCTGAGTCTAGGTTACAAAATGGCTTCCATCCCATCTCTCCAGTGTTTGACTTGGGTCCTGGCAGAGAGTTAAGTTTAAACAGAGTAGGCATTTTTCAAGACAATGATGAGAGAGGAAGAGAGGGGTGCAGGCCTTAAAGAGGCTTATAAGGGGGGGCACCTGGGTGGCTCAGTGGGTTAAAGCCTCTGCCTTCAGCTCAGGTCATGATCTCAGGGTCCTGGGATCAAGCCCTGCATCGGGCTCTCTGCTCAGTGGGGAGCCTGCTTCCTCCTCTCTCTCTCTGCCTGCCTCTCTGCCTACTTGAGATCTCTGTCTGTCAAATAAATAAATAAAATCTTAAAAAAGAGGCTTATAAGGGAGTAGTTATATTGGTGATCTCTAGACTCTTAAGGTGTGTGAGAAGAGAAGTGAGAACATGAAGTGTGTGAGGGAAAGAAAAGACATAATAGGACAGGGTTAGAACTTCGGTGGAA